AGCGGCTGACTCCACGAAAAGGGAAGGAGAAGCTGGGCGGCTCTGAGTCCCTCTCCCTGCTCCCATACGGAGACATAAGGGGTGGGAACCCAGGAAAAGCAGCAAGATGCATCACAGAGACAGACAACACTGAGGGACACTCCTGAGATCATCTTCCACCCAAAAAGATTTGCAAAGAGTTTTAGAATGAGTCTCCTATAGCATGTTCACGAACGTCCAGCTCCCCAGGCCAGGAATGCCAACATGGAGAAAAGTGTCCCGGATGGGGTGGCAGGGTTGGGGGCTGGTCAAAGCCCTGGCTTTGCTACTAATTTTGGGCAAGTTTCTTAACTATTTAGTTTCCGATCTTTCTGTCGTAGCACTGGGCTTCGACATCTTTGAATGATGACATTGATTCACAGAGCAAACTAGTTCACATGGGCACCTAGAAAAGGATTTTGAATAAAACTGGGACTTGACTGTGTTCCCAGCACCCTAATTAAGTAGACATTATAACAAGAACAGAAATCTTTGTTCAAACCTGCCCACTGTTCCACTGTAATATGCTTCATTGGTTCCATGAAAGGACAGACAATTGGGTATATGCAACAGGCTCTGAGTTGCACTTTCTTACAAACGTTTCCAGGGATTTATTTGACGTGTCCTTACTGCTGACATCGGGACATCCTAGGGGTCCTGAACAGGAAGCCCCTTGCAGGGCTCCAGCTATTTCTAGACATCTAAATGTAGAACTTCTGTGTAGTCCAGCCAGGCTAAGCAGACCACACAAATACTTTTTTTTTAAATTGTGAACTATACTAAAACAACATCAATCAAAAAACGTTGTGCTAAACCCACATTATCCCTCCTCCCTACCAAATACGAAGTAACTAGGTACACATATAGATAATAATGTATGCATCAACGTCACACTGGCTAGCTTCTTCCAGAAATTTGTCTGTATGAAATCAAGGATCTAAATTCTCGGACATATCCAGATAGTCAGTTGAATGAATAAATAAGTGAAAAATAGATAGTCATTATACAAAATGTATTTACATTTTGGATAAAAATTAGGTTAAATTAATAGAAATATTGCTTAATATTTCTTATTCTAATTACAGTATTCTAACACCCCATGGATTATGTTGGATACTCTATTTTGGAGACCATGACCCCTAGAACAGCATTAGGTTTCTGTGATACAGCAATAATAACAATTTCTACTAACAATTCTGTGACTTTCCATTATACTGAACCAAATTATAGGGAGTTACTCTTTTAGAAAAAAATACTCCAGGCTATGAGTCTAAAAAAGATCCACCAGGGCTCTTTTGTTGCCTGACTTCAGAAGGACACCATTTACATTTTCTGTGAATGGTGCCCCCTAATTTTACTCAGTGCACAACCTGTGCAACTCTGCATGGAGACCCTGTGAGCCCCATATCGGAGGCAGACTCTGAGGATGCTTTCCAAGGAACATGTCTCACGTGAGCTGAGGGTGAAAAGGAATGTTGGTCTCCTGTTGGCCCTTCCAACCACACCCAAATCTGGCGATTCTAATCACTATCAAGCAGTCACCTGGAGTGGATACTAGATGGTGCCAGACTCATAACACTGAGAAAGAGCTGGAGCCACATACCCTGGTCAAAGCCTGTAAGAGCTGGAAGGGACTGCATTTCAGACAGGAGGAAACTGGGGTCCAGTCACATTTCATAGTAAATTATTGACCAAGCTGTGTCAGACATTCCTGACCAGCAGTCCTTCCACAATGTTACACTGTCACATTAAGATCAGCTAACGGAACACCTGTAATATCTACTAACTCTAAGGCGCAGTGCTTAAAATAAAAGTGATTACTTTATGGATGGTTCAACTTCATCACAATAAATAATAATAATTTAGGCTCCTACATATTGAGCACTTACTATATATCAGGTGCCCTATTAAGCAATTCACATGGAGTCTCTTATTTAATCTTTGTAACCACCCCGGGAGGAACGTATCATCATGACATCCATTGTACCAATGAGGAAACTGCTAAACGATTTAACAGGAATTAAGTTGTTAAGCTAGGCTTCAAACCACACAACCTGACTTCAAACCCTGCTCTACAACCTATGGATATATACTGCCTTCCATAATGAGGGACGTCAACTATGTGCAGAACAAAGGGTGTTCATCTGTGCCATTTCTCTTTGCAGCAGTCATCATCAGAATACTTTCTTTCCTCTGCATTAAATAAAACACCAGAATGCTTTCCTCTCCCTTTTCCACTTCTGTCTCTTCTTTTCTCCATCAGCTTCTCTTTCCCCCTCCCCTCTCTCTCATACACACACACAAACACATCTAGGAAAATGTCTACAGGTCCTTCAGTTTTAGCAGAAAGCAGCAAGACAGTTCTCATAATCCTATCAGCAAATTCTGAACCAACAACCCCTTTTGGTTGCCTTGTAGTGTGGATTGCAGCTCTTACGAGAGACCTTTCCTTCACTGGATCTCAGGCAATGCTCAAGAAGCAAGGATTTCATTCCTCTTATTATCTTCAAGAATTGTGTTTATCTGTCTTCCCCACAGGACCGTTGGACTTAAGCTGTTTGTATCTTATATCTAGTACCTGGCATTGGTACATTGTAAAAGTAGGAAGGAAGGAAGGGAGGAAAGAAGGGAGGAAGGAAGGAAGAAGGAAGGATGGAAGGAGGAAGGAGGGAGGAGGGAGGGAGGAAGAGAGGGGTCTATGAATGACTGTATGAGCACATTTTCTCGATCGTATGTTCCCAGGGAAGAGGTCCACAGGGGAAATGGAAAGAACATGTCCATTCACCCAGCAGCACCCCTTTCTCCGTACTACACACCAGACCCACCGGCAAAACCTCTGGGCTCCCTCTTCCCAACAATCCCAACCCCACTTCGCACCACCACTGCTGTCAGCATCGTCCAATCCACCATCCTCCCTTGCCTAGTTTTTCAGTTGCCTCCCACCTGTTCTGCTGGCCTCGACCCTTTCTCTGCTACAGTCTTGTTACGCAAAAGGCAGCCAGAATGTTCCTTCCAAAGCCCCCGATGACTCCCCCCGTCACTCAGAGTTCAAGTGGAAGCTCTTTCCAAGGCTCATCAGGCCGAGCCCAGAGCTGTGCCCACCTCACTCTCTCTACCACCCCTCAGTCAGCGTAATTACACCAGCAAGGATGTAAACTTAAAAGAGCGAAATAGATCCCATATTTGTTTTAGGGAACCACGGGTCTTAAGTGACTCAGGGACCACACATGACGGTCAGGTAGCTGTTCCTGCGGCTGGCACCAGCTGGAGACGCCAAACCTTCTATTTCCTCCTGCTCCTGTTTGGTTCAATACCAGCGGCAGGTGAATTTCTTACGAAAGCAACACTTTGCCAAATACACACGTAATGGTTTGATGTGCCCACAATGCTGATGATGAATCTTGTCTGCTGCAGGAAGTTGCAGGGACACCTCTGCTCTGGGGAAAAGATATACCTAGTCCTCACTTTAAAAAGCCGGGGGTGGGGGGTTGAGGGGTTGTGGTTTGAGAAACTAACACAATGGCCACATGGATGCAAAGGCCGGAAGGCTGCTTGAATGCACTTGTCTGAACATCAGCTCCTCCATGCCGCCTCTCCTGCTCCTTCGTGCCCCCTTGGGCAATCCAGAACCCCCACAGCACTTCACTCGCTCCTCCACTTCACCACAGTTCACAACTTGCAAGTCTGTCTCCTGCACCACATTGTTTATTGAGAGCAAGGGCCCTGCCTTACACACCCAGCTCCCCTCAGATGCTCAACACAATCCCAGGCAAGGCTTGCCTGGTACCCAAGTATGAACCAAACACTCTGCTGGGTGCCCTTGAGAAGGACCTTGTAGAAGAATAAAGGAGATGCAAAACAACAAGGGAAAAATACAAAGTAGAAAATAATTATGTATTAAATTAGCAACTAAAGTGCATTTAATTCATTAGAGGAGTTAACTGGAAACCAGAAAGGGAAGAAATGAGTGTGGACAGGGGTTTTTATAGGTTCCTAGAGTAATCACATTTATTAGCAAGAAGTGTCAGTATTTACTAAAATGTTGTCTTCTTCACAGTAAAACAAAAAAAATGTAAATATGAATTTCAGGGGTTGTTGGGGAAAATGCTCGGCCATCTTGATTCATAAAGATGATTCGTTTAGCCCGGAAATGCTTTTTATGTTTTTTGGGGTGGCGGGGGGAGGTAATTAGATTTATTTCTTTATTTACAGAGTTTCTGGGGATTGAACTCAGGACTTCGTGCATGCTAAGCACGCACTTTACCACTGAGCTATACCCTCCCCCTGCTTTTTATGTTTCGATAGTATTTACGACCATAATCTTCATTAGAATACCAGTCTAATATGAAGATCACCAAAGTTCTTTGTCTAAATAATCATACGTGTTAAACATTAACACTGGCAATAAGGGTCTTACAACTAGTGAAATCATGTTACCTTATCAGATATGTTAGCTATATTGGTGCCAAAGGACAAGCTGAGTGACAGAGGTAGCATTTATTGACCAGATATACGGAGGACTCTCTGTGACCTTAGAGACACTCAGAAGGAAACTCTGGTGCCCAACTGCCGATTTGACTTTCTCTCACAACCCTTGGTTTCATTTTTCAAAATCATGTTGACGAAGGAAATTTAACCAGACAGGAAAACGTACTTAACGACCGACTGTCACCAAGGAGAGGATGTGAGCACCCATTTCTGCACACTCATAAGTGAACTCTTACAAAACGCTTTGCCTGTGGTGTGTAAACGCCAACGCTGAGACTTGCACTTCAAATGCACTCTCCACTGCCTGTCGTTCTGAGCTGTCCCGGGGGAACCGTGGGGCGACTCGTCCCACCAGCCCTACTCCTGAACGTGTACTGAGACCCAACAAGGTCCATGGTACCATGCACCTGAGTGAATCCGCTCACTCAGAGCAAAATAAAACCCCAGTCTCGCCCTCCGCGTGTGCGGCCGTGCCTGTCAGAGGCAGCCCTTACCTTCACGAAGAGGTTAATCTTGGGGCTCGTGGAAGCTGATTTGTTTTCTTCCGCATCAGCAGCAGAAGAGCTGGTCAGGGAATCCCCGCTGGTGGAGGAGGCTCTGCTCCGCTGGATGGTGTAGCTTGAGGGAGAAGGCAGGTCTTCCTCCATCCTACCTCCGTTCTCCTGGGGCTCCTCTGGGCCAGACTCCTGGTCCTGGATTGGTGAGCATAACTCTTCCACTGAAATGCCCCTGTCCTCCTGGGGCTCACCTGGTTCAAGATCCTGGACCTCAGGACGGACATCATCAGGCAGAAGGTATTCTCCTGTATCTGGTTGCAAAGAGGCCAAGCTATCCTTCTCCTCCACAACTGCAAGAGCTGACACCAAATCATATTCATGGGTTTCCAGCTCATTGATATATAAATTGTCTTCTGACCTCAAACCTTCAAGGACGTCATCATACAGGGGGCCTCCATGCTCTGTTGGCTGCTCTGAATCCTCATACACCCTATCCTTCTGGACGGTGTCATAGATGGTGCTGTAGTCTTCGTCACTCATGTTGATGGGCCCGACAGATCCTTTGGCAGGCAGACCTCGGCAGACTGAGATGGGTACAGGGACAGGGAATGTGGAACTGCCTCGCCAAGGAGTCAGCGGGCTTGTGAAACGCGGCAGCTAGCCACGGCTATCAATGACAGGTCTCTAACAATCATTGACCGGAGTCTTTAATCAGCAAACCACAAGTCCACTGGACGTAAGACAAAGCTTACACAGTCAGTTAACCCCTTCAGTCCCAAGGATATTTTCAAGCAGACTCTGTGGTTTTCCTCCTTGGCAGTAACTCCAAGATTCTTTGGATCAATGAGAGGTTGGACTGAATTATCTTTCCAGCATACGTAGAAATTCTGAACATTGAGCCATTTGTCACTACATCGAACTCCCCCCTTCAGCTGCCTCCAAATGTTGACAACATTCAAGAAGTCCCTGCAATTCGGTGGAGAATAGTTCTTCCCAGCTGGAATTCATCTGTTCATGGCTGAATTCTTCACACAAAACAAAATGTCTGCGTATCGATACCCCATGATAAATAAGCTAGACACGCTCTAGGTCGGTGATGAACGTCGTTGACACTTCTTATCTGGGACCACCACTCGGTGATGAAATGGCAGAAGGAAAAGAAGATAAATGCTCTGGTCTATGGTCACATCCGTACTGATTGCCCAACCGGAGGGACTCAAAGATTTATGGCTTTGAGGTCTTTGTTTTTGTTTTTGTTTTGCTCTTAACCCTGTGTGATCATCACAGTCCAGCCATCCTCACTAAGACTCTCTCATGTACAGGATACTGAGTTGAGCATCCAGCGCTTGAGTTAGAAGACACATTCTCCGTCCTCCAAGGGCTTCTACAGCAAAGAACCCTACGCACAAGTTGCCTCCTTGATGTCACCTACAGATGCCATGACTACACGGGCTCTTTGTGTGTTAACCTGGTACTCTGTCCTCATAATTCCTGCTTCCCTCACCACACCACGTACATCGTTCTCTCTGAGGGGACACCGCAGATGGACTGTTAAAGGACTCTAATGTCTAGAAATCATGTGAAAATTGAGAAGCAATGCAACCCTGGTCGACAGAGCATTTGATGAGCATCTTACTCACAAAAACTCCTTTGTACCCCTGCCTCCAGTGTTGCATCCAGGACTTCTGGAGCAAGGTAGAGCAGTATTTCTAGAATTCTAGCTTTGGGGATCGCTTAAAGAATGGATGAAGGGAGAGGCCAGAGACAGGCTTTAAAGTCTACTGATGCTAACCCTTTATTTTACTGAAAAGTGAGACATGTATTAGGCATTGAATTTAAGCATTCTTATATAAGACCAGTAAAGTCTTTCTCAGAGAGTAAACTCAAATACTAGCTGGTGTGATTTGTCAGTTTAGAAGAGTCAAAGCAATTTTTCTTTATTCTCGAGCCAAATGACATTTTAAAAGGCAAAGGATTTTGTTGCAATAAGTAATTGACCCAACTAACCGGACAATAAAATGGGAAACTCTCTCATTGTTCTCGCCTCTGTGTGCTTCCCAGGTTGTGACACCGTGACTCAGCCGTTAACACAGGGTGAGCCGCCAGGGCAGGGTTCACGGAATACTTTGCAAGGGATCTCAAGATTGCCTCTGTCTTTCCTTTAAATTTCCCTATCTGCAGATAACGTACTCCATTTATCTACACACATTTAAATTCTGTTTTGATTTTGATTTCCATTTGGGTGCAGAGTGGGCAGATGTGAGGAGCAGAGAAGGGAAGTTATGAAATTGTGCGGAAAAAAAAAACCCTGAGATTTATTGAAGCATTTCTTGTTTACAAAATCTATGAAGATGAAGGAGGGATGTTTCAGCCACATGGTGGTGGGGGGAACTCTGGTGCCAAACAGACCTGGGTGCAAATGCTGACTCTGCCACTTACCTTTTCTGAGGCTTGGTTTCCTTACTTGTAAAAAATGGAAGTAACATCTTCCTCCAAGTGTTGGTGGAAAGGTTAAATGACAAAAATATGTGTGAAACCGCAGAGTCCGGCAGATGAGAGCAGCTTGTTCAGCGTTAGTTTCCAATCCTCCTACCCTTAAGCTGCACTGGTTTGAGAGCTCAGAATGAAGAGATTCTGGGGGGAAGAAATAAGTGTTAAGTAATGTAAGTAATAACGGCATGTTAGTATGTTAATGGAGCTTAGCTCCACTGTGGATGGCATTTATCATTATGCATTTTTGAAGCTGCTTTCTTTCCCAATACCTACTGTAAGTCATGACCATTACATTTTGCATTGTGCCATCATTGCAACCTTCAAACACATGTACAGACGTTTTGCATGCTTTGCCCAAGAATGCAGTAAGCCATGTATCATGAACTCCATTTTACAGATATGAAAGCCATGGCTCAGGCTGCTTTCCTGGCGAGTAGTTATAACACTAAGATTAGGGCTCAGTTTCCCTAACAGCTGACACTGCTGTGATCATTAAAAGAAAAAGTTTAAAATGTATGCTCTGCAAAAGCAGCTCTGTAGAGTCAGGGAAAATATCAGATGTCTAGAACTGAACCGGAATGATAGACCAGGCAATACAAATAAACATGTTTTTACCAAAGGCAAACAGTGTGCAAGAAGAATCAGGTTCAAAAACACCCTGAGGATGTGAAGGAGTGTTTTCTTTCATGCAAAGTCCACCAGGGGGCACTATTACTCACTCTCAGCTCCAATCCCGCCCCACCTTTTGAGCTGTTTCTTCTTCCAGGCTAAAACGCTATGTAACTGTTGCAGTTCACAGATTCCCCAGCCTGATGGCTTTTCCCCATTTCCCAATTATTTTGCTGTGAGAATAAGGTGCCTCAAATTCCAAACATACTTTTAAAATGTTTTATCTAGATGTGTCACGTTAGAGCTCAATCCCCCAACCCCTTTTTAAAATTCCTTACAGTTCACTTAACGAGTATTAAATTTTAAAATAAAGGAGAAAGGAGCTCGTGAGGAACACTTGATCCTCACAACAGCTCTATAGGGCAGTTCGTTTTTCTGTTTTACACCCGAGGAGACAACTTCAGAGAAAGCAATTTGTCCAAGATCAGGCAGACAGTAAACAGAGAAGCCAAATCCAAATTCTTTTCACTATCCCTTAGTAACTAACAGTAACTAAATTTCCCAGGGGAGAGAGTTAGTAAATTCAAATGATGTCTTCCTAGACTTGGCAGGCAAATGAAGACAAGTGGGATCGCATCTTCAGAGAACACCAATCACAAAAG